GTATAATTATTTCCACATGGAATAATAAGATTATTAAATAAAAGTGAAGTCGACACGTCAGATCAAAAAATGTCACGTCAAATTTTTATTCCGGGGCCGGATAAAATAGGACCATAAATGATGAAATTGACAAGTTATAGGACCTAAATTGAAAGTGGCCAATATAGGGGTGGTTTTTTGGACTGTGGCCAAGTTGTAGGACCAAAAATGAAATTTTGCCACTAAGTTGGCAACACAAATGAAAACATTCAATTGTGTATTTTTTATTTTTATTTTTGTGAATATTTTTTACTTGTGTTGTCAACCTACTTGTACACTAAGTTGGCAATGTAGCATTACTCAATTTTGAAACACCAGACACATAATATTATGAAAGACCAGAAATCAAAACATAGGTTTTCAAAACTCGCATTTATATAGAAGAAGTGATTGTTATTATCGTCGTTATGATTATTTATTGTTATTTTTTTATTTTGTTCTCGTAGACTACATAGAAATTGTCACATTTCAACAGAGAATCTAATGAGAATATATTCCAATGAAAATTTCAATAAATATTCCAACGGTATAATTTTCATTGGAACGATTTCATTGACAATGACTATTCCAACAAAAAATTCAGTTGGAATGAGTCTTTCAATTGGAATTCTAGTTGGAATTTGATGATTTCAACAACCATTTTTTCAAATGTTTATTATATATAGCATAAATTTTCGTTGGAATATATAATCTCTGTTGAAACTGTTATTTCCACACATATTTTAGTCCTTGTAAATCTACCATTAGAATCGTCCAAATCCAACAAAATATTTCAATGGAAATTGAATTTACAACGAACATTTTTATCAAAATTTCTGTTTGAATTCATTGAAAAATTTCAATTGAAATGTCCATTAGAATTGTCGTTGAAATTTCATCTGAATATATATTTTCATTCGAATTTCATCATTTCTTATAATGTTCATAATATTTTAATAAAAATATAGTGTTCATAATATTTTAAAAAAATATGGAGAGAGAAGGAAAAAATAAGAGAAGTTGAAAAGACAAGGTAACAACAATTATTAACATTGGCCATGGGTAGGTCCATCTTTGTGCCATGGCTAGATATTTATCACATTATGATAACATTGCAATCGACTTTGCAATTGGGAACAGTTCACGAAGATTAATTATGCAACGCTCACTAATTGTAAAAATTAATGTTACTATTTCTTTTCCTAGGAGCTTAGGTTTGGGGAATTTCTCTTCACCCAAATTGTAAATATCAACTTAGGAACAAATGTGGGAACTAACTAACTATTCTTTTTATTTTATTTTATTATTATTTTTTTTGCATATCTTGCCTAAAGGTATAGATGTCACCATTAATTTCAAAATAAAATCGGTTAAACATAAATTCTTGTATAAGAAAGTTAGTTAATATTGATCAGAATAAAACTTTGTATAGCTCATCTGGGTCAACTGGTTGAATTTACTTAAATCTTGGTGTGAATAAATTTGTAAAGAAAAATGCATATTTAAGTTTTTATTATTTATTGAAATATATATATTTGTGAAAATAATATGATGACTTTATTGTTAGATCTGCTTTAACTAACTGTTTGAATTTATATGCAATGTTCTTAATATATAGTAAGACAAATTGTTAATGATATTGATAAAGGGTAAATGTTAATTATATTGTATACTTTCATAAGCACATTAAATTTAATGATAAAAGTTAATATGAATGATGTGTTGGTGCATATTGATTATAACTTTAACAATTATAAGTTTTCTCAATCCANCGGGTTAGATGTATTTATCATTTCAGCGTGAAAAATGACAAAAACTAGAAAAAAAATAGAAAGGCAATTATGTCCCTTGCAAGAAAAAACAAAAAAGTCAATTAAAAAATTTAAAAAAAAAAATGAAAAATGACCCGAAAAAAAGGGAAAAGGGTAAAACACACATGTTCATGCGTGGCAAAAAGATAAAACATTTATATATATTGCCATAGGGTAAAAAGTTTCAGACCCTAATTAATCTTGATATATTGTGAGTAATTTTATTTATTATGTTTTGCTCGCAATTTCTAATTAATCAATGTCAACCCTAAAAAATTTCCATGCAATCAAAGTGAAAGTAAATTTATTAGTAGCTTAAAACTAAAAAGCGGTCAACAATTTTTTGGATTCAACACATCAAATAGTAGAAAAGTTGAGGTTTACTTGGGAAGTCAATTTCCTATCTTTAATCTAAAAATGTCAAAATACCATGAATTCAAAGTAGCATGTTAAGGAAAATGTAGACCAATTAAATTTATATTTTTACAAATATATATTGAATATTGAACTATGCCTATATTTTAGTAGTTAATTATGTTTGCATATTTCAGTTGGAAATGCTTTACAAAATACTTGATATGTTTTCCTATCATTATACTTAACAACAATAGGGCTTCCGATACGCAATTGTGCTTAATTGGATAAACTTACATTTTCAGCAATTTGATATATTGAAATATCATACCATACAAATAATTTATTTCAACCTAATATTTTATAAAATAAATACGTATATTTATTGAGAAAAAACGTGACAAATCTACCACCTATACTCAAACCCCCATTTCTATATATGCAACATATAACATTTATTAAACTAGTTGGACCTATGGTTTGAATTTCAGGGACCAACTAATTTCTTATTAAATATTTATTTTGTAACATTAGTATGAGGAGCTTAAAAGATAATGCCAAATTAAGTGTCAACCAAGGTTTTGTACTTTAGCTTTGTAGGTTGTAACTACCCTAAATAAATAATTAAGGTCTACTTACCAACCTATGAACCCATTACCAACACCTTAAGCTTCAAAACCTTAAACATAATAATTTTAGTACTGCCACTAAATTTCATTGACCCACAAGGGTGATATACAAATATATATGTTCCAATTGAATAATAGAAAATCAAACCATATATTTACCTTTAAAACTTATTATTTTTTATATTTACGGTTATTTTTTCTTAATTACAAATATATTTTTGGATTTGTTGTGTTATTCAACTTGAACCTGCTATGTTTAAAAAAACCTAACTCTATTGTCCAACATTGATCCTGTTGGAAAAAAATGAGTCTAGCTTATATGTTTAGTGGGCTACTCCTTTCATTAACTATTATATATGTATCAAGTTAGACGTAATTAAATTACAAAAATAATATAAAGTATAAGAACAAAAAAAATACAGTAATAAACAAAGATTTTTTAAATTATAAATTAATTAGAAATTAAGAAAACGGTAAAAAATTGATTGAATATAAAAAGATCGAGTGAGAAATTCCACTTGAAATACAAATTCTCAATTCACCTCGTTTTATGTTCATGGATTTTTTATTTTTATTGTTTATTTTTTACTTTCAGATTCTCTCACTTTATCACTCTACATTTTTATCTTATAATATAGAAAGGTCAAATCCCTAATGACAAGTATATTAATTTTATATTTTTTTTCATTACATAACTCAATAACTCATGTTATTTAACCACTATTCAATCACTATTTTACTATTGATATCAAATCACTTTCAATCATTATGTTTGATTTCACCTGGAATAATTAATCACACTCAAAATTTAATTTTTTTTTTTTCTTTTTCATCCCTAAGAAAAATTTCCTCCAACTAGAAATTCACGTCTAATCCCAACCTAGTCATTGCATAATTTTTGTCATTATATTCCATAAACAATTAAATGTGTGGAGTTCTATTTTTGGGCGGTTTGTGGGACTAAACATTCTTAGACACATTTTTCAACTTTCTCATCCAATCATGATAACATAATAATATGTTCTTTAGGTGAATACTTTGAAAAAAATATTAATAATAAAAAATAGTAGTGAATTACATGTGCAAATCTGTATCATTAAAATGAGCCTAATATCACGATGCACTGAATCACATGCTTGAGGTTCAATTTCAATGTCATATATAAGATATATTTTGAAATCATCTTATAGTATATATATAACAATTATAATTTTATATTTATATAATAAATTAACAATCGAAATACATTTTACAGATGATGGAGTAACTAAACTTAAAAATGATTTAAAAAGCTTCTAGAGAAAATGGCTAAGATTAGGGACCTTAATTAACAAAGGATGATAATGACATGTCTCCACACAAAACAAAAAGTTATCTCACCTTTCATTCCATTTGTCTCCTCTTTTTCTTCAAAATTTCGAACCCAGTTAAAGGACAAACACATTTTCTTCTCCATCAAATTATATCAAGTTTAGTTGTTATTCGACAGACCTAATGAATAGAGAGTCATACTTTTTCAACAAATTATATCAAATTTAGTTGTTATTCGACAGACCTAATGAATAGATAGTCATACTTTTTCAACATTTATACATACTTTAAAAATTGAAATTCAATACTTCAAAGAAAAAAACATATATACATCAAAGTGCGACATTTCATAGCATAAATATATATTTTTCGTTAAATATTGTAGATTGGCCCATTTTACTGTTAGGTTATCTGATCCCACAAAAAAAATGTAGAAATTTAATTCTTGTTGTTGGCTCTTTTATGTTTTTATGTCTTTTTTTGGATGTGGTGAAAGATTAATTAGTGATTAGTTACTCAATTACAGTAATTTTTTTTTTTGGATGTGGTGAAAGATTAATTAGTGATTACTTACTCAATTACAGTCAGTTAAACACAACTTGACAATGGCATAATTATGACAGCATTTTTGCTTTACTTTTATTGTAGTCACTCTCTTTCCTTCATTTTCTTTTTAATTTTCCCTTACAAATTTGCTATTGGTCGTTGCTTGGATTGTAAGTGGGACTATCAATTATCAAAGCCATGAGCCGAAAAGTTATTTCCACATATGATTGCTTCTCTTCAAGCTCTAATAAAGTTTGGTTTTTTGGCAATAATTTTTGAAATAAATTAATTATCGTTGGATTGTGCACATTCACATACACTCAATATTGATCTAACGATACAAAAGTCCACGTACGGTGATGACGTGGCGACTAGTTGAGCCGGAAGTGGCGACTTCCGGCGAGTTTTTCTGGCGTCGTAATTTTCTCAAGTGGAGGAATCTCGGGTTGTTGGGTTGGCCCGTAAGGGGATCCGTGTAAGGCGGGTTTGGATCCAAAAATGGGCTCTTTGCAGTTCTACTGGACTGGGTCCAATTAGATTTTAGATATGATTCTAGTTAGTAGGACATTCTATCAAGTGGGCTCTTTCTTGTTTTACCGATTGACTGGGCTGTGACAGCCCAGCCCAGATTACTGGGGCAATGACTATTTTGAAATCCCAACCCAAGTTA